TTATTTTCAAATTTTATTATCTATAATTATTTTTTTAATATTTTTGTATTTTAAAAAAGTAAATCAGAGCTAAATAAATATAAAAATCTAGACAAATTTGCTTGTATTAGTCTATAATCTAAAAGATAATATAAGACTCAATACAATAAATATTTTTTAAAAAACTAATTTATTATATAATTATTTGGCCTACTAAGTATTGTCAAATTAAACTTTAAAACTAAATATATATCTTATATATTTAGTTGTAAAATTTAATTTGTAGTACTTATATAAGATTTTTACTAACTAAATGATTCTTTAGAACTAATTCTAAAAAGGCTATTTAATTAGCAAAATCTTATATAATTCTGTACTCATCTTCTAATAATTTAATTTATATAATTAATTTAGAGAAATTTAATGATATATTATAAATTTTAATTTACAAAATATTTTTTTACTTGCTAGTAATTTAATTTATGAAATAATTAGATAAGTTTTATTAAATTATCTTTTATACTATCTTATAGATAAATTTTTTTGAAATTACTAGATAGAATAAGGAATAATATATTTTTATATAAATTTATATAATAGATATTCAAATTTAAACTTATTTGTGAACTTTCAAACTAAACTTTAAACTAAACCAGATTTGTTTAAAAAGTTTAGAATTAAACTCAGACTAAATATTAGTTTTAAAAAGTTCAAGTCTGAGTTTAGTTCAAAAATTAAATTAAACTTAAACTTATTTAAAAGTTTAGTCTAGTCTAGTCTATAAAGTAACTAGTAAATTCTGTTTATTTTTAGAAGCATACTTCTATAAATTGAGTTATACTAAATTGATTTGAACTTAGAAATATAATATAATGTTATATAAAAAATTTTGATAGAATATACAAGCAAAAGATCTGCATAGTAAAAATTCTAAGTTGGTGAAATAGTATAATCTTTCTATAGGACTACATTAGTTAAAGTCTAATCTAGAAAGAAAACTTAGTCTAATAAAGATAGAAAGTTTCAAAGTTACTAGATAGAATATAAGGTAACTAGCTAGATACTAAAAAAAGACTTAATTGACTGATTAGTAAAAGACTATGATAAAATCTAAAATTGTACAAACACTGCAAAGGTTTAAGCTAGATAAATTAGTAAAATAAGCATATGATTACTCTAATAGAAATCACTTTTGAAGTTAACTAAAACTCTGTATGCTTACAATGCATTAAACATATGTATCCTGAGAAGACCTAAGTTATATCAAAAAAAGATCTATAAGCAAGTTAATTAATGCAAATAATTGAATATAGTAGTGAAATTAATTGAAATTGAAGATGAGTTAATGATCAGAATATTTAAATAGATAACCTACAGATGAGTTGCAAATATAGCAGTGTAGTGTAGAACCAAACAGATGGTCTAACATCTGTGTAACAGACTACTTAAATTAGACAATAACTAAAGTTGTACATGTAGCTTGTTGTATACTTATCATATAATTATAAATCTTAGGAGAAACTATATGCATGCCTCTATAATAGAAAATTAATAAAATCCAATCAGCCAAGAAGACAGCTTTAAAAAAAAAACAAAAAAAAAAACAAATACATACAGTTAAATTATAGTCTAAACTATTACTTTAAGCCATAAAAAACTCTATATATATAAACAAAAACTGAATAGACTAACGGATATTTTATAACTATAACCCTGCTATGTGTATTATAATTGTTATTTTTATTACTAAAATATTTAAAACTATAGATAGCTTAAATACTTTGAACACTTAAACGTTTGAAATTAGACATGCCAAAACGTATATCACTGCTTTAGAGTACCTATAGAATATGCTGTAAAAATGGTCCGGTCTATACTTAGAAGTGAGTTCTGGTACTCTATATGGTATAACCGGTAGGCGGGTTACCGAAGTTATCATACTGTAATTATGAGTAACTTAACTCGCTACCATGGGTAACTTAGGTAACCTACCTACTCAGGTTGATCTACTCAGATCAAGTGTTATACACAGGGGTTAAAATTTGAGAAAGGCTTAAAAAATTTGAAAAAAGCTTAAAAAATTTAAAGATCAAATATCAAATCAAAATATTAATTTGAAATTCAAACTTGAATTTGATTTTGGATAGCACTAATAATGCACTACTCCCAAAGTAGAGTAGAGCACCATAAAATTTTTGGGTATGCTTTATCTGAAATTTTTATACAACGATTTATATATATATGGTTTTATTTCTTGTTAAAGACATGCCCTAAGACGCCATGCTTCCAATCCTACTCAATGTATAAGAGTCTAAAAATTTTAAGTAATTTCTTTGAACGATTAATTTACATTTGATATAATTTTGAAATCTGAATTTAATTTTTACAAATTCAAAAATTCTTCTTTAATGTTAAAGATGTTTTAAATCCCATTAATATTAAATATCTTTCCGACACTTGAAGTTACAACTCTTCCAGTAAAAAATCCACCTGCTTTACTAACTTTCTCATCATCATTTTCATTAATAGGATCCCACTCTAAAGCTGCTCTACATCTCCAACCACTACAATGGCCTGGTGCTAGATAAGCAGGATTAATTAAATTTTTTAAATCTCTAACTGTTTCTTTTATTCTTATTTCAAGATCTCTGCCTGATAAATGAAATCCACCAAATAATAAAAGTATTGAAAATTTTTCAATTTCTTGTTTCTTAATATCTTGACTATTAACAGGTTGTTGAGCTTGAAGTGAAGTATTTACAATTCCTGCATGACCACAACCAGTAATCACAATTAAACCTTTTCCTTTAATTCTAACAACCATAAATCTCTCTTCCATAATTAATGGATCTTCTTCCCATGATTGTGTTAATTCATTATATCTCATATGATTTGGTATTCCTGTTTCATAAGTAGTTTGACGATTAATTTCTCCACTTATGAAAAAGAAATTAGAACATATTGTATGTGGTGTATTAGATTTCAAAATCTATTTATGAATATATTAAGTTATTAGAATAAATTATCAAGGTTGAACCTGTTAATGATTTGATTAATGTAAATAGGTTTGTTAATTACTTGACCACCAGCATTCTCAAGTTCTTCAAATGTAGGATTATTCATAATCATAATATGTCCATTTGATGGGCTTTTTATGCCACGACGAGAAGGTCTATCAAGAGGTAAATCAATTATTGGAGGATTAAAATTTTGAAGACGTGCTTCTGAAATTTTTGAAATTGCATCCACGAGACCACCAGAATGATCTAAGAAGGGATGTGATAAAAATATATTAAATTTAATTGTAATATTATAATTTTTATTTATTAATTATGTTATAAAATCCCAAACCACAATGCCAATGACTTAAAACCTATAATGTTTTTGAAGTTATGATTATTATATTATTATTTTGTATTCATAACATTCATAAAAAAAAAAAAACATACGACAGCCTCGATCTTCTCGTATTCGATTCCCAATTTTCTAGCATTATCTAAAAATATTTCTCCATAAGGTCCAGCGTCAAAAAGTACAGTATGTTCTTCTCCATCTAGAGTTCCCGTCTATCATTATTCGAAATTAATTAACGATATTTTTGATACTCGTATTAAATCAATTATAAATGTGTAATATGAATTCTACGTTATGAATGAGGGATTTTTTCATTAGAGTGAAGTTGCTTACAAGAAGAATAGAAAATCCATGTGCTGAACAACAGAATTCAGAAATATTTAATTCATTATTCTTGTTCGTTATAGACCTTTGAATTTCATCTATTATCAGAAAAAACAAAAATGTTGATAATTAATATCGATAATAGGTATTGACTAGACGATTTGAAATTAAAACTCGGTTTAACATTATTCCTGACATCTTCAAAGCTTCCCCCAAAACTAAAAGATATAACAATCAAAATTTTTTGCAAGGTATCAATTAATCAACATGAATACGAGCAAAATATTTTGCTATACACCATAACACTGTAATATACGTTAGCCAAATTCCAACCTAATTTGGGATTTTTTTTAATCCCCCTTGCATTTGAACTTTTAATTCAAATCGCCTAACATCGATTATTAAGTAAATCAGTCTAAGAAGCAGGATTAACTATACATCCAATTGTGATAATCTCTAAAAAAACATCACAAGAAATCATGCAATTTTAAATTTTTATTATTCATATCAGATATATTCTGTATATTTACTAGAAACAATTCCAAGTCCAGTACTAGAAGAAGATAATGGATCAGTTTCGTTATCGACAATAACTTTGATGATAAGATTATCGAGTTCCTTTAATGTCTCATAACCTAGACAGTTAACTTGGGAATCGTACATTTGTGCAAAGAATTATAATGCTATATATGACGTAAGTACTAGAAAAGCGAGTTGTGATAAGTTAAATATGATTAAATATGACATTCTGTACACGTGACATAAACCTTGTATTGCATACTTTTCAATTAATAATATCCTTGCCTTTGCATTATTAAACAATGTCTTTCGGATAATAATATAATTGTATAGCACAATTACGCGGTACGACGATAAACTTACCTACTGTATTACCATATGATTAGAGAAAGTTTATTGAAATTTTGTTTATTATTGTAATCTCAAATTTTATTATTTTAAAAAAAAAGTCTAGTACAAATTAAATTATAGGTATTTTTTTTTTTAATTTTCCGAATTGGAACGAGCACCTTCGATATCAGCTAAAACCATTTCTTTTACTAAAGAATCAAATTCTACTTTTCGTTTCCAACCAATTTGTCTATTTGCTTTTTCAGGATTTCCAAGTAATAAATCTACCTCGGTAGGACGGAAATACTTTGGATCAACTCGTACACGAATGATGCCTGTATCTTGTTCGCGACCGACAAGTTCTTCTCCCTCTCCTTCCCAAACAATGGCCTTGTTAATCACAGCAAACGATTTTTCAACGAATTCACGGACAGTATGGGTTTCACCTGTTGCAAGGACATAATCGTCCGGACATTCTTGTTGCAACATCAACCACATTCCCTCTTTTTTTTTTTTTAATAAAAAAAAAAGTTAAGTTAAATGGCTTTCCTTTAATAATAAAAAGGACATTTTATAAATGATAACTAACCAACATAATCCCTTGCATGTCCCCAATCACGTTTAGCATCGATATTACCAAGCCAAAGACATTCCTGTTTACCAAGATGAATTTCGGCAACAGCACGTGAAATCTTTCGTGTTACAAACGTACGACCACGACGAGGGGATTCATGATTAAAAAGAATACCATTACAGGCATACATATTGTAGGCTTCACGATAATTAACAATGATCCAATATGCATATAATTTTGCAACACCATATGGTGAACGTGGATAAAATGGAGTTGTTTCTGATTGAGGTGTTTCCACAACTTTTCCATAAAGTTCAGAAGTGGAAGCCTATGAAATATTATTACCATTAGAATAATTATAATCATTGTAATAATTAATAATTGCAATTGTAATAATTTAATTTGTAATAATTAAATTAATTGTAATAATGAATTAATTTTAATAATTGCATTAATAGAAATAATAAATAATTTAAATTATTGAAATGTAATTTGTACCTGATAAAATCTAACATGATTAGTAAGGCCGACAGTTCGTACGGCGTCTAACAAACGTAAAGTACCCAATCCATCAACATCACCCTAGTTTTTTTTTTTTTTTTGGATCAAATCAGTTGATTGAATATGAATTAATTCATTAAAAATAAATCATAAAAAATTCATTATACTTACAGTATACTCAGCCATATCAAAAGAAACTTTTACGTGAGATTGAGCACCCAAATTATAAATTTCTGTTGGGAGAACTTGTGACACGATATGCACAAGATTGGTTGAATCGGTCAAGTCACCATAATGAAGTACCATCTTTGGACCTGAAATGTGAACCAAAGTAAGAAATTATTATATTTGAATGAATGATCCAAAATAATAATAATGTTTTTTTTTTTTTTTTGTAAGATAAATGGTTCAAATGATGAATATAAACTACCGATTTTAAACGATGAATGCAAACTACTCATTTAAACGATTAATGCATATAAATCACCGATTCGAATGAACGATGGATGGATGTATACCAAATTTGGAAAAATGTTTAAAATATAAAATTTTAAATCCTATTTAAACTTACGTTCATGTTGATCTTTATAAAGGTGAGTGATTCTTCCAGTATTAAAAGATGATGAACGACGAATGATTCCATGAACAGTATATCCTTTCGATAAAAGTAATTCTGTGAGATAAGATCCATCCTGACCGGTAATACCTAAGAGCAATTTCTCGTTAATTTTTATAGATATAAGGATCAAAATTTTATGCTAGTACTCTATTACTTATTTACCGGTGATTAAAGCCACTTTTCTTTTTCTATATTCTTCAGGAGAAAGTGAAAGAACTTTAAGGATATCAGGTGAAACTACAGTAACGCTCATTATGTATTATTTTATTATCTTTCAATGAAAGTAATGAAAGTGAATTTATTTAATGAGGGAAAAGAATGATTTTGATAATGATCGAGAGCAAATTTAACTTCTATTTTTTGATTGGGTGAACAACGTGGTAACGTGGTACATACATAAATGCATTATAATTTATATTTGTACGACATTTGATTGGGTGAATAATGTTGTGCATGCATAAATGCGTTTACTACTGTACCTATTGTTTGTATTACAGTATTATCAGCTCATTTCTCGAAATAACGATAATGTTCTTTGTCATCGTTTTTATAAAATCACATGATATCAAGGATTAGAAGTAATGCAAGTACGTTATGCAGGTTAAAATTTTTGAATCAGAGACCCAAAATGGGTTTAGTATTTCCGCGGAAACATTATCTTTAATAGTTAACAGTCGTACGTACGTATACGTATGGTATATTCAAATATTTGAAATAGTGAATATACTTATCTGTTATCGGAAATTACAATATTGGCAGGTTCAAATAAGAACCTAAATGGGGTATTCTATTTTTGGAATTACCTTACAAAAACAAACAAAAAAAAATATTTTTAATTTTAAACCGCAGTTTATTGGTAATAATAATCATCTACAGTGATTCGCATAATTATTCATAAATACATATTTGATAAAACAAAATATTTTATCAAACTCATTTCCTTAAAAACTCATTTTACGAACGAGATTATCGATCGAGTTTTAAAAAAAAAAAAAAAAAAAAAAATATATATATAGATATATTATTAAAATTTACACATTCCTTTTTTTTTCACTTTCCATTTTTGACATTGTGTTTCACAACTAAAGATTTTTTGGATTAATTTACACAAAAAAAGAACGATTTTTTTTAATTCGGCGTTTTTTTTCTCATAGATTTTTAAAGAATCATTTAAACGTTTTAAAAGAATTCTTTCATATTTTTAACCAACGATACATTCGTATTTATATAGATTATATATATATATTTTTTTGTTTTACTAAATTTTACCTTTACTAACAAATGACAGATTTCACGACTATATTATTACGAGACTTGACAAAATTATTGGAAAATGGCATTGACCATAATGTGGTAATTCAAGCTGGAGAAGAACCTAATACAAAATCATTTCGTGCTCATTCTGGTGTTTTGAAAGCGAGGTGTCCGTATTTTCAAACTGCTTTATCTGAAACTTGGGTTAGACAAGAAGATGGAATTATTATTTTTTCTAAACCTAATGTTTCAGCCGAAGTTTTTGAAATTATACTTAGGTAATTAAAAAAAAAAGAATTAAAATTAAAATTAAAAAAATTATATAAAAAAAAAATGAAAAATGAAATCATATATATGTATTTTTTTTTTTTCGGATTCTTAATTATTAATTTACAAAAGAATTTTTATAGATATATTTATACAGGCAGAATAGCTTTAGATAAACATGATGGTGTAGATATTCTAAATATATTAATGGCTGCAGATGAATTAATACTTCACGATTTATTCGGTTATATTCAACAACATCTTGTTACTTATAAAGTTCAATGGATGGAAGAAAATTTTGACTTGGTTCGTCGTACTGTTTTTCAAAATGACCGTTTAAAAAGACTTCAAGAATATTGTGTTGGAAGAATATGTAAAAATCCTTCTTTATTATTTGATTCCGATGATTATCTTTCAGTCAATCTTAATGTTTTATTAAGAGTATTTCAACGAGATGATTTACAATTAGATGAAATTGAAGTTTGGAATTATCTTATTAAATGGGGAATTGCTAAAACTGCTGCTTCTGTTTCTTCATCTATTGATTTAACTTCTTTGAATATTTATCAATGGCCATCAGAACATTTAATTACTTTACAAAAAACAATACAACAATGTGTTCCGTTAATTCGAATATTTCAAATTTCTTCAAATGATTTTTATAGCAAATTAATGCCATATAGGGATATTATACCTAGACCTTTATTCGAAGATGTGATGAGATATCATATGGTACCTGATTGTCCGAGACCTCTTTCATTAATGCCTTCAAGGCGTGGTGGAATTGAATCTAATTTATTCCGTGCTAGGCATGCTGCATTGATCTCTAGTTGGATTGATAGAAATGATTTAAATGCTTTCTATAATACTACAAGTATTCCTTATGAATATTCTAATATTCCTTATGAATTTAAATTATTGGTTCGTGGAACTAGGGACGGTTTTTCTCCACAAGCTTTTCATAATCGATGTGATTTTCAAGGTGCTACTGTTTTAGTTATGAAAATTCATGGATCAGGTCACTTAATTGGTGGGTATAATCCATTAAATTGGGATTCGACCAATAAATGGGGATATACAAAGGATAGCTTTTTATTTTCTTTGGGTGATGGTGAAGATATTAAAACAGCTTTACTTTCAAGAGTTCAAGAACCTGCACGTGCTGTACTTTGTTCACAAGCTATAGGTGCTTGTTTTGGAAGTGGTGATTTGGTTATGGGTGGAACCCATTCAAATTTTAATGTTGAATTAGGTTGTTCATGTAAGCGGCAATCATATGAAAGACCTTTAATAACTACTGATCTTGATAGATTTAGTGTTGATGAATATGAGGTTTTTAAGGTTACTTCAAAATTAGGAACTGTTGTTGGAACTAGACAAAATTCCGCCAGTAGTAATAGTAGTAGTAGTAGTAGCGGAAAAGGAAGTGGAAGGTTTTCTCTGCTACTATCACAACTTCATCAAACTAGTCTTAATTAATTTTAGTAAATGTATATAAATTTTTTGTGTTGCAAAAGCACTAAGTAATTATAATTGAATAAACAATATAATAATAGTAATAATAATAATAAAATTTAGTAAAATAAACTATATACTGTATTATAATTCAATAGAACTTTAAAATATTACCTTTAAGCTATATAAGGTCAATCTTTATATAAATGTTAAATTTCTTTATGTAAATATAACCAAAATATTATATTATTATAGTAAATATATTGTATTATTCATGTTTATATACTGCAATTTAAGACAAACCTAAGCAAATTGATCAAAAATTAAAGATAAGTACTTTTGTTTATTTTGCAATAAAGTTTTACTTACATAAAAGACAATATTAAGTAATATTTTTTCTAACCAATTGTACGTATTAATATACAGTATTTTATAATTTGTTAGCAAAAATCTCGGTAATAAAATTTAAAATTTCAAAAGTTTTAAAATCAAAAAGAAAAAAATAGAAATAGAAATCATATACATTACTTTAATAATTATAATAAATTTATCACTGTATTCAGTGTTAATAATTGGACTTGGTCCAATTTCAAAAAAGATTTTGATTACATAACCTATAATTTGAGGCTGCGTTTAAATATCTATTTATTCACTAATTACAATTTAGTTGTTTAATTGATCAATTGTAATTGGATTTAATTGAGCTATATCTAATTGTTCAATAAATCAATCAATTTAAGCAATTTGAATATGTCCAATTCCATATTTCAAAACTAAAGATTTAATCACTTTAAAAACGTAATCATCATATGCAAATCTAGAATATGAGTAGCCGGATCAATATAATATAGGAAGTAGAAAAACTATGATAAAATAGTATGGTATGAGCATATTTGTACAGATTAGTATCAGGTATGGTATGGATTGATTTAAAAAACATATTGAATCACTGTTATATGATTGCCGCGAGTTTTTTATATTTTGACTAGATATTTCAGTTTGTTTCTCTTGGCGGCACTAATATAACAGTAAATCAATATAATAGAATACTTATTTTAAAGATTAGAAATTATAGCAGACTAATATAGTTTTTCAAATAGATACTAAGCAATAGGTTTGGTTACCTTTGCTATCTTTGCTATGCTGATCTGCTATAATTCCTAACAATAATTGAAGAATATAAGTTATATTTCGATTATTTGTCAATTCTTAAGGTCATATAAAATTAATTAATTAGTTCTCATAACTCGGCCGGGTCAAAGATTGAAAACTTTTTTTTATGTTTTAATAGCCAGGATTGATTTTTATAAAAAAATTATTTTTTTTTTTAAAAAAAAAAAAAAAAACTGACAGACCGGGTCTGATTCAAAACTTCATGTTATGAGAACCAATTAATAAACTTTGTATGGCCTAATAGAAAATTAATGGGTTAATTTTAAATTCAATCATAGTAAACATTTGAAATGTTATAAATTTACAAAAAGGTAGAAAGTTAGTGCTACTAACATAATAAGAACGAACCAACCTCTCTATAGTGGCGGTACACCAATAAATTAAGAGTTACGGAAAAGAAAAAAATTGTATATATATGATGAAGAAGAACTTTATTTATACATGTTCAAATTCTATTTTCGGAAAACGCGTACCTATAGATTATCAACGATAAAATATCTGAAAATTTTTTATCAGGTTTATAACACGTTATTTCACACAGATACGTAAAGATTGTAGTCTCGTTAGGTAGCGATTAGGTATAGTTAAATAATGTTCATTTTAATAAAACACAAATAGATTACATTTACATGTTCCCTTTAACCATTACACCATTATATGTATAGGATACGATCAACGTACTTATATAAACCACATAAATGCAAGAAACTACAAATATATACTGTACATTTTATATATATATATATATATATATATAAATCACTACCTAATTATAAGAAATTCTTTATTAAATAACATGCCTCAAAAATTCCGAAATCCCTACTTTTTTATCTTTTAAATAAGCTCCAACTAATTGATAATCATATCCAAGATAATGAGTCCACCATCTAACATATAAAGTTTCTAATGGTGCTTGAGTATTTTGTAAAAATAATTGCATAGGTGTATCTCCCAAATAAATCCAAATATTAAGATGCCTTAATGTAGTTGGCATCAAACTACCTAACCCACTCCATAATTCTTCATTATCCCAAGATACTCGATCCATTCGAAATATGCTAAGACTTCTAAGTTGACAATCTGAAGATGTAAGTATATCAGTTAAATGACTTATTTGTAATGTACCTATAGGAACACCAAGTCTCACTATTCGAGGACAACATTGAGAAACGGATTCAATTATTGTTGGAGACATTATATGATATTGTTGATTATCAACTGGTTTATAATAAACTTCTTCCAAGTTTGTAGAATTATTATGAATCAATGAAACTACCACATTATCCCACCCATATGTAGATTCTACTATATGTATTTTACGAAGTGATGGAAATGTTGCACACACTAACGGAGATAAAATCTCGTCAGTGGCATTCAAACAATTTAAGACAGTTAACTCTTGAAGATTTATACACGCAGCTAATCCTTCAAAAGTTGACCCTAGAGGTGTAGTTGAAGTGAAATGAATGTAACTAATTTCTATAGATATTAAAGAATTTGCTTGAGCACCTAATGAAACAAGGGTTAACACAGGATATGTTGAGTAACCAAATAATTTAAAATGTTGTAAATTCTTTTGAATTGTTATCAAAGATGCTAAATTTTGTTCGTCCTCAGGATGTGGAGGAGTATTAAAAGAATAACCAAGAACTTGTAAATTTTCAATATTTCTAGAGTATTTGGCTAAATAACCAAATATTGACCAATCAGTTATATAATGAATAGTAAATTGTCTCAGTTTTGCCAGGTAAGTATCTATACCAGCCGAATAAAGTAGTAACGGATATGCTTTCCAGATTTCCATGTCACCCCAGTCGAGGGATAAAGACCGAATGCTTGAGCGTCGACTGAAGAACAATCTGCAAAGCGCTTGATATATTACTAAACTTGGTTCCGTGTTATGACTACGCCTAGCAAAAACAAAAAATTTATTTATTTATTTATTTATTTATATACATTCAATTATGTTAAGAAAAAATATTAATAATAATACCGTTTTGAATTGACAGAAGGAGAGGTTTGTGTTCGATCAGTCCATTTAAGAACTATTGTGTAAAGACTTCCCATACTAAGATGACGCAAAAATGATACGTAGTCAAAGATTTGATTTCGTCGACGGTTCGAAACGGAAATGCCATTATCAATTAAATGTAATCTTTCAATGTCAGTTAAATATGACATATAAACATCGATAATTGATGATGGCGTTGAGTCTCTAAAAGGTTGAGCCCATAATGTGGGTACTGAACTTCTAGACCATAACCTATTAACGAGAACACACGATTGTAGTGATTTGGGATCATCTTCCAAATGTGAGAATATCTCAATAAGGCAATCAGCTGGAAGTGTCAATTGATTATTGTCAGATGAAAATCCACGATGTTCTGGTGTACTTGATCTGGAAACTCTATGCCTTTGACCTTTAAAGGTTTTAAAGGCTCTAGTCACTTTTTTCTTAATAGCATTGAGGCGTCGTCCCATATTTCAAGACACATCGACTCAATTATTTATTTCGTATTCCGTTTTTTCCTTTTTTTTTATATATAAAAAAAAAAGGATGCCGTGGAAAAAAAGTAGAAACGGCAGAAAAAAAAAAAAGAAAAAAAGAAGATATAAAACTAAGGGTTTAATCATGGTCACATTTTTGAATTTATGATTTGAGCCACATTTGGGAGTTGAAAATCCGCCTTTGCGCCAAATGTTACACTAGCTAAACGGTTAATATTAAGCCGACGGTCTCATGGTGTTTTTTTTTGGAACCAACTACATTAAACCAAGACAAGGAATGAACAAATCAAGATAAGCCTATTTTATACATTCTGCGAATGAATGAAATTTTGTGTACTCAACAACTTCGCGCGTATTACACGTAAATATTCTTTCTAGAAAAACTGAAGCTCAATTTAGCATTTGTATATTATATCACAATAACCATATGGTTTGACACACTACGAGTTAAATATAATGTAAAATATGAAAATTACAATATGCACATTGCTTTTAGCGATACAATTTGTGATTTGTTACCGAAACTAACAAATTTTCCGAAAATTGTTTCTATGTTTCCTATAAAATTTGTATTCAATAAAAGGGATAATTCTTATCTGTTATACTATGCTATGTTTCTCATAATATGTACTCCTCGGCCGATTTTAATTTTTTAAAAATCAATATTACTACATTAACTGTATTATCGGTAATTCTGTATATATCTGATATTTTTATTAATTAATAATAAATAATAATAAACAATAACGATAAATAGATATTGAATACGTATTAATAATCAATATTAAAATAAAAATCTAAGTACAAAAAAAAAAAAAAAAAAAACCTATTAAAATTTGAAGTTACGAATATATTTTATGTTTATTGAAAAAAAATAATAATACGTATGATATAAATATTATCTTAACAAATTTGGCTAATACATGAAATTAGGAGTCGTCTTGCCCATAGATCATTCCCACCCTACGTAATTTTACTGTCTGTCCTACCTCTAATCATTAAATTTTCTCTATAATTCAATAGAGATCATGTTTCGCTCTGGGTGAAGACAGGAATTTTTTCTTATGTGAAATTATTTTTACGATTATGATACTTGGCTTTAATCACAATAGTTTTTACTACATTATTGTGCTTATATACTTAAACCTATAATGGTTAAAACTTATTATAATAATAGTCATAGGATATGTTTAATGATAGTGACATAATTGTAGCCAGTCGGACAAATTGTTAATAATTTGCACATGATACATCACAGATTGGAAATGACAATATTATGTTAAATATCGCAATATGGTTGACCAATTAGATCACAGGATATTGTGATCTTGTGTAACAAAAACGAAAGAAAAAAATCGAAAATTTTAGTGATATCACCACGGGTAAAAATTAGTCTTATGTAAAGTAATATTAATGTCATTAAATGGGCTGAGATTTATCTTCCCTCTAATATTACATATTAGTATTTGTAGATGGTCACTTTATGTTATATCGAAAACAAACACCGTCTACTCTAATTACTGGTATAATAAACAACTATCCAATTAATAGACTTATCATTATTACAAAATGTGTCATCCCTATGACCTTATTTAAGTGAAAGAACGTTAAATTGCAAATTAAATTGACTATGATCCAAATTAATCTAACTTCAAAGAAAACTAATATATAAATCTCATGACCTAAAGTAAAACTGACCCTTTTAAAAAAATATCATCTTTTAATCTAACGACAAGATCACCATTATGAAGTATGATCAAGACCAAGATAGCGTCAGGACGGCTAGACAAAATTTGTATTTATATTTTAGATGACTAGCCGAATCCTTACTAAACTCATTCTAAGAATCATTAAATATTTGTCAGTTTATCGTCATATTTTCTCTTGTTGACAACCATGGAAGATACTACAAAAGTTATTCAGGAGATAGCACAAGAATTGAAATCCGAACAAGTATATTTATTTCCTAATAAGTAATATCATAATCTTTTTTTACCATTATTAATTATCTTTATTCTTTATAGGAATCATTACCAAAAAAACGTAGACGTGCAACTACAACTTCGGAAAAACTATCAAAAGAAATAAAGCCCATGTCTATTCGTAAAAGATCAAGTTCACGATCGTCTACCTCTGGTAGTAAAACAACTTCAGGTGAACCTTGGAATGCGCAAGAAGATAAAATTTTAATTGAGAATATGTTAAGGTTAATTCCTTCAGTTCCTTGGGCAGAATTTGCGAAAAAATTTCCAAATAGAAATGTTAAAAGTTTACAAAATCGATGGCAATATTTGAAAAAAAGGTTACATGGATAAAATGAATTTGAGAATTATCATTATAAATGATGGCTAGAGTTAGAGTATTTCTTTGATAAGTCTAATGTTTTTTTTTTCTCTCACTTTTGCAACAAATGCATATTATATATATATTTATATATTTGCTTGTCTCATCGATGCGTAGTTGTACATAAATATGATATTAAAAAATGCTAATATCTCATCTACTCATCTATATTATTAAAAATACATGCTTTTTAACTGTACTTCAAAAGTGTTTATGTTTTCGTAGACATCTGTATTTTCAACGTTCTAGGAGGAAATAGATAAAAATTTGTTATACGATAATAAACAAAAGAAGTTCGATTCAAATTACTATAATACAGGTAATATAGAAATCTTACTGAAATATTGTAAAAGAATGTTAAGCCTTGTATAATGACTTGCCTACAGATAGCGTAGAAATTTCATGTCGCCATTACTGTAAAGAATTACATGTTCTCATCTGACTATCTTACAATAAAAAGTTTTACAACTTGAAAGATACTGATAGATATTGTGATTTTAGGTTCTGAAAGTTTATGTTAATCTCTCAAAAAATAGTGAATTTAAAAATCAACACTGATAGATTGATATTTGAATAATTTGCAAGGGAAGTGACTTAACAGAAAAAAAAAACATTTAATAGATTGTTATTTGAATAACTTTGTATGCAATAAGAAGCGACTTACAGAAAATTTCTCAATTTCATTTTGTGCTATGCGGGTGACAATTACTTTCCATAGCAAATTGGAATGTCTATAATATATTTTAGAGACAATTAAAAGTATATAATACGAATTAATTCTGTTCCATCTTCATTCTTGGCAACTGTAATAATTAAAGTATTCGGGTTGTTTTCAATTCCCAATTCTTTAAGCTGAAAGTCATGTTTAATCTGATGTCTACCTTTAGGAGTTCTCAAGTTTATGAAATACTGAAATAATAAGATTATTATTATCTTGCGAAATAAAAGTTTTGTGATACTTTAAATAAATTCATATTCTTAATTTGACATTCTTTTTTTAGTTAGAAAATTGAGATACAACAAATTTAGTTATACGATATATTCATTGAATATTATTAACTTATTAATAAGCTAGCTTCTAATTATTGCTGCTTATTAGAAATTTAAATATCGTTAATTATTTGTACGTATGTACAAGTATGTACAAATATTTCTACGTATGATACGTATGTACAAATGTTTCTATTTACAGATTGTTACGTACAAAACTAGAAATTACAATATTCATACTGCTTTCTTAAAATGTTCATTGCGCATTTGGTATTATCACAAAATACTTATTTCGACCCTTCAACATTTTTTAACTTACAGCCTCTTTGATATAACATATTTCAGCTTAACGAAAATTCGAGGTGTTTTCGACTAAAATTTTATATAATGTTACGGGCAGCTTGTAAGTTTTCTTTAGGCTCCTCACCAGAGGCGTGACGTTGGTGATTTGGGGGAAGGAAGTTCGATAATTATGATCAACCTTATGTGCCCTCTATCTCGCACATAAAAGTCGTTACCAACCTCTTATCCTTTAAATAGTTTTAATTCTTATATGCAGCGAGAGGCTTTGACTAGGCTTTTAATTGATCGTTATTTTCTCCGAATATTCTTGGATCCGCATTCATCGATTATGAGTCCTCTAACCTACGATGATCTAATCATGTTCTGGAGGCGCAGTTTCACATTTCTCGTAAATGTTACTTTTACCCGTGACAATATGGTTTTACCTTTAGCCTTATTTAAAATTGTTATTGCTAAAAAAATGTTCGCCTATTATATAAAATCATCAGTATTATGAGAAAATTTTTATCACTTTAAAATTATCTTTCGAAAATTGTTCCATGTTGTTGAATGTGATTGAAATTTTAATGGTACGTACCAAATTCTTCTGATATATAAACAGAGGGTAGTAGCCTCATTATATAATTTATTTTGATTATTTCGTCTAAAAAGAAATTCATGTTAATAACCAAAACCTAATTGTATTTTTTTCTATAATTATACTTACTAACATATTGTATAGTATACTGTATATTCTTATGTTATCAAATTGTAATTCTTCAGAAAGTTTATTAATCAGTAACTTAGCATTAATGCCAAGTTTTATTTGATCGCCTATTTTTTTTGTTTTCTGGAGCCTTTCGGTCTTTTGAAAATTCTATTAACATTATAAATTTATCCTCTTTTTTGATTTTTGGGACTTTAAAAATTCCATCAAACTTTTGCGCTTTAGTATTTAATGTTTAACACTCGATCCTAATTAACAAATAAAAAAATAATTCAATATCAGAAATTAATAAATAAATAGATATTTTTTTAAACACACACCAACGCCATTCTAAAATGTCTTGGTGTATTCGAAAAATTCTTAAAAATGAGTTTCATTTGAGAGTTTATTTATCAGCACCCATGACCGACTAAGCATCTCTATTTGGCATTTTAAGAATGCCAAATTCTTCTGATAAATATACTGAAGGTAGTGGCTTCATTATATAATCGATTCGAATTACGCTATCTAAAAAGAAATTCATGTTAATAACTAAACCTATTTGTGTTTTTTTTTTCGTAAAGATACTTGGGAGTGAGTCAATAGAAAAGAGACAAATTTTTTCTAAATAAAAGTTTTCTTGACTTTAAGCTTAAATATCTTGAGCTTCATGTTTGTGAGCTAAACTAAAATATTCAGAAATGCTTCGCCCTGGCGGATTTTGAAATATAATTTAGTCCACAACACTAGTATCAATAGCGTATATTCTTTCCAAATCAGATGATTTGGAGTCAAGATTAATAGAGGATTCCATTCTAACGGAACTATTTAATCTAATTTAAATTAGTTATTTATTTTATAAAAAATATAATACGCGTCTTGAGCCTTCATGTCTAAATAAATCAAAGTAACATTTATGCGAATACAGTTTTCTTCCGAATTCTAGCGTTTTTTTTCAATTTTCCTTCCCTATAATTTTATTTAGCCAGAGTTGTTGCTCATTTAATTTTTGATTTATATAACTTATATCTAATAGTGTTTTTTTTTAATGATTTACGTTACACATGATTAAGAAATTCTATTGGTTATCTCACGCGTGCGGTCTTATTTCCCACTGTGACACAAACCAAACCTGAGTCTGGATTTTATTGATGCACTTTCTAACCCTAACCCTAATAAAGCATCAAAAATGTAAAATGGGTTTTCACCCTGTCGTATTATAATTTATAACCTTAATATTGCCTCTAACCCTAAACTAAAGCCAAACGTTAATAGTGTTTATCATTCGTACTACAGTGAGAAATAAGTAAATCACGGACAGAAGGACATTGTATGATTTGGTGTAGAAGTATATGTCCTTAGCTACGCTTCGGCCAATTAGAAGAATATATCTACAAATTTCGAGCCCTGCCTTTTATTTGTGACCTAAACATTTTCATGATTTAAACGAAAGTCTAGAACGAAGTCTGAAAAACGAAAATGATAGTGTAGGAAAATGTTTATTACGTGTGAAATGTAATGTGACCAATATTTTTTTTACGAACGTATATAGAGTATTCCGTATTAAAAGGACCCATTTTTTACAATTATCCAAAATTAATTTTATTTTTTAATAGATGCATATTAACGAAAAGGTTTTCTATAAGTTACAAGAACTGTTAACATAATAAAAAGGTCCGTAAGATGAAATTATTATCGAGAATACTATATGTATTCCTATTTGTAAGAACATATTTTTAAATCTGATTCAAATTGTTTATATATAAAAATGTGTCTTTTAATACGGAACACGAAATCGCATATCATTGTCCGTGGTGAAGCATAGAACATTTAATGGACGAGTAAAGCGATACAATGCCATCCATTGTCCCGCATATTTTTTTTATAACGTTCTGAAAGTGCCGAATAATTACAGTGCCAAATACTGTATAGCGATTTTGTGTCGAACTAACATGCATCATAAAAAAGTTATAAATCCTGTTTTTTTTTTTTTTAATCCACACCATAAGCTTCTTCTTACACTAGAGACTATCTTGATGCTAGAAATTGATATTATGTTTAAATGGTAAAACTATATGCTTCTGAAATTGCTATCTCTCATGTAATCAGTAGAGATGTTATCGGCTCCATTTGAAGCCGACTCCAGCCACGGCTTGATGCCAAGCCCAAGCCAAACCGAGCTAAACTGACAGCTAGAGTCATTGTTCAAGCCACGGTTTTAAGTCATGGCTTGTGACATATAGCGATAGAGATAGTAGGATCCATAACCTGAAACCAAACTGATCTGTGATAGCACACGAACCTAGGCTACATCCGATCACTTAAGAAATATGAAAACTTTTTCTAAAAAAAAATTGAAGTGCTTTGAACGATCAAGAATAATTCAAAACGACGAAAGAAAATGAAAAAAAAAATTTTAGTATAATAATTTTTATAATAAATTAATTGATCAAAGAGCACAATTTTAATTTATAAAGATCGAGGGTGATAAGTATATACTATATAACCAAATTATTCAAAATTCGCATCCAAATTGTAATTTTGAGTAAGAGTACTGACATATGGGATCTTTGCTAGGAAAATCACCCTTCGGGATTTTCCGAACGGGCCAATTCGGAAAGACTTAGACCAGAACACCAGTTCTTATTTATATGTAAGTCGTCTTTTACCTTTATCGATGCAATAGTTTATTTAATAAACTATTATATCAGTAAGGTAAAAGATGATTTGCATATAAGTAAGAACTGGTGTTCTGGTCTAAGTCTTTCCGAATTGGCCCGTTCGGAAAATCCCGAAGGATGATTTTCCTAGCAAAGATCCCCAAGATTTCTTAGGATATATCTTACATCTCATCTTAAGAGATATCTTACAAGGGGGTGGGTTGACTCTTATCGATATTAAACTGATATTACGTAATATATGTCAGTGCCCTAGTTTTTTAATGTACATATTGGCAATTTCATGATTATTTAGATAAATGATTTTAAATAGAATCTAAGCCAATAAGATATAAAATATGGTGTGATGATTTGATCAGCGACCGTTGTTTTTATATCCCAGTTGATCCGAACAGGTTGGCTAGAATAACCCAAAACTAACCTGAATCTGATCAATTTCGGATCATTTGAGCTAAGTTGTTTATGAGTATCACAATTTCAATAATCACAACGCTCCAACAGGAAATTTCGCCCACATGAATTTTCAACGAACTCAGTTACATAACTTTCTTTAGGGATATACAAGTCACTCTCGTTATAGTGGCTGTATAATTTTCATCATTATATCGAAATATTCACTATCAATATAATAATTATATCAAGAGATTTATATATTAAAAACTTTTAATATAATGAAGTTTATATATAAATTTAAAATTTTCACTATAATTGGTTTACATATAAATCATTATATCACGAGGAAATTTATTATAATTTTGCACTGTATTTTTTTAAAAGAATCTTCACTATATCAAGCGAAAAATTAATAGTATTGGTTTTGTTCTAAAAAAAAAAATAATAATAATAATCTTTATTATAAGCCAATCTTCACTATATCGAGAGTTCACTATAACGAGAGTGGCTTGTTGTAAGTTAGCGTAGAGAAAGTTGACAGTATATACCCTTCCAGAATATTTTTAAAAAATTCTTCAAGTCAGGCATTGGTAACAATTGATTTGCTAATCTGCTTGAAATATCAAAAAAGTAAGATTTTTTTTTTTTTAAAAAAATAAGCAATTTTTTTTTTTAATCAAAATAAAGAAAATAATACTTGCAATCAAAATTTTAAGTTTTCTAGTAAAAATTGATATAAGCAATAGTTGATTTTATATTAATATATATTAATTAGAAAATATACACAACTCGTCGCGTTGGATCACGACAAAATAAATGTAAATATGCTAACCTTTGAAAATTATCTAAACACTACACGCCAGATCAATAAGCTTTGTTACCTAATCATAAACTGCAAAAGATTAAATTAACATGAGTTATCAATTCATGAATAATAACCATGCTTTTCCTATCAAAGATTGGTAAAATACACACCGTGTACAATACCATATAAAAGAGTCCAAAATAGCACGTAAGAAAATAGTCCACCAAACACCCCTTCTGTCCAAACATCTGTTCCGCTACGAAAATATATCCCTGGTTTTGCTTGAGTTTTTAAAGCCCAAATGAGAAAAGACGTGAACAAAGCGGTTATACCGTAAAAGATAAAACCGAAATAACCAGTTAACCCTAGGATTCCAGCAGCTGAACCGGTAATTGCAGACATAGAAGAGCGAATAAATGTAATAGTTTTGACATTATGAGCGATATTTTCGGGAACATATAGAGACGCTTGGTTTTGTGGTGATCGAGTGGCCATGGAATTTTTGAAAGTTTGAAAGTTCAAAAGCTACGTATCAAAGTGAACTGTCACGCCGATGTGACATATGGTAGTTTAATTTAGTACTCTGATTGGTCAACTTTTGACCAGATCTATCTATCTAATGTTTACCTTCAAGCATTTTCAACTCAAGTAATGAATAACAGCACTTCCCTTCCTTCTCAACAGTATTACTCTCAAGAAGTTTCAGAACTGTCAATGGATAACTCTCAGCAACAACACGTTCCTTCAACACAATCTCAACACTTGGATTCTACGAACTTTGCTAATCAGTTGATAAAGATCGAGCACGAATCTCAAACTGGTGATGCCTCTGCAGCAACAAAGGAAGCTGATACAAAGAAAAAGAGAGCTGGTCCTAAAAGAAGAAAAGTTACCCACGGTAGTTGAGATTGTCTTATTCACTGCCCTATCCTGAAATTTTCTTATGCTCGCTAATTGATCTAAGCATTTTACAGCATGTGTATACTGTCGGCGATCTCACATGACTTGTGACGACGGTAATTTTGTTTTTTGACCACACTGAATTATCGTTTGTTTAGAACAGAGCTCAACTGCTATCCGAAACCAGGTCGCCCTTGCCAACGTTGCATAAAGAGAAGCATAGGGCATCTTTGTCACGATGAACCAAAAGGTTCTCACGGTCCTCAACAAATGGGTGGCGGAAATAATACTGTGCCAGCTAATCTTATAACCATGCAACCTGTTCCTCAAGGTGATATATATTTAGTTTAATGTTATTCTCGAATTTCTCGTTTACATGTTTAACCTTTTTTTACATTCTCTTTTAGTTTTGAGAACAAATACTTATCCAAGTTTTCAAGATTTCTCACAAATTACGTGTACACCGTTACCTACTCCTCTTACTTTTGCCAGCGAACATACGGGTCATGAATTCACCGTGCTTACGTAAGATCTACGGTGAAACTTTACATCATTTATTCAATTGGTTTGTTCATAACAAGGTAGTGACGCGGCTTAAATTACCTACCATATGTTTACTTAATATTCTTTTGTGGAAAGTAATTTTCTGGAGAGTGTTGATGGTAGTCAACAGAGTCGTCACAATAATGACGGTCCTTCGGCAGATAACACCGACAAGTTTCTTTTAACCGCGGCTGATCCATCGGATGGCACGTCCGAAGACCGATTAACGCAAGTGATTAACGCGAAGTTCGAGGCTGGATTCTTGAAACCATATAATTATGTCAATGGCTACGCCCGTTTACAACAATATATGGAAAATCAGTAAGAATCTTAAAAATTTCTTTATATAGTATTGAATATTATGGAATAATTTATCTTATTTTCTTTAAATATGATAGTATGTCAAATCTAAGTAGACAGCGAATTTTGAGTTCACTTGGTACTTTCCGTCCTTCTTTCCGTAACGTTGCACAATCATTAACGGATATTGATCTAGTTATGGTTGAAGGAGCATTTGAACGCCTTTTATTGGTTTGAACAAGCATAATTGGTTTATTTGTCGTAGTTGAATAACCTTTTAATAATTTATAATTACGCTTATACCTGTTATTTGTTGTATTTATCAGGATTATGATAGGGTATTTAGCTCTATGGGTATTCCGGCATGCTTATGGCGCAGAACAGGAGAGATATATAAAGGAAACAAAGAATTCGCTTCTCTTGTGGGTGTTTCAGTAGACTCGTTAAAGGATGGACACTTGTGTATATACGAGGTTAGTGTCATATATAGGTTAAATTTAAGAATTTAATCATTTTATGTATCGTAGCGATAACTTGACGTGTATTCTTTGTTGATTCGATAAAGCTGATGATGGAAGAATCAGCTGTAAATTATTGGGAGGTTTGTTACTTTAAATTATTGCGTGTATTTGCATCATATAATAAAATTCCTAAACTATAAAATCATAATTAGAAATATGGAAATATAGCTTTTGATGCAGGTCAAAAGGCTGTATTAACATCATGCTTGTTAAAGGGACCAGAACAAGATATTCAAAATGTTACATCGTGTTGCTTTTCATTCACAATTCGCCGCGATAAATATAACATGTGTGTATTCCAACATAAACTATTCAATTTATATAATATATATATATATACATTTTTTATATTAATCCTTTCGTTCTTTATATTTCGTTTTTATTTATTTATGTAGACCGGTATGTTGTGTTTTTTTTTATTTAGATTTTTTTTTTTTTGCTTATACATTTATCGATGCTTACATTAAACAGTCCGCAATTATTGGAAATTTTCTTCCGATTCGACTCGCTGCGTAAACAATGTTAAACCTCTTTTCTACTACATATAAGTTTTTAGACATAATACATCATATTTTTCTTGTTTATGCTATGTAAACATATGTTTGCGATCAGCTCTAAAATTTTGATATATAATAGAAGAAAATTCAATTGATTTGTTTTAAAATCGTGTGTTAGTGATAATTATATGATCTTATGTAATTTATAAAATGGTAATTTATAAAATGATAATTTAAAATAGGTACCAACATATTTTTATTAGTCTAGAGTTTATTGGAAAATATATGTAATTGTTATACAGTTCCATTATTTATTGTTTCAGATTATATCTTATCAATAATTTAAACTTTTATTTGATACAAATAATGCAAATGAATATATCTATGATTTCGCACCCCATTTATAGATGGTTATATACGTGGTGTAAATCAGTGACACAAATCCAAATATAAATACCAACACATCGAGTAATTTTGCACCTAAAGTATGTGCAGCAGCTTTTAAATGGAAAAGCGGTGGATACAGAAAACATAAAGGTATACTGTAGAATAGACAAAACCAGATAAATATAGTATTACATGTCATAATATACAATTATTTAAATTTTTTATAAAACGTTAAAACATATTTACCAAGCAAATGATCCAATTAATGAAACAAATTTATCCAAGTCGGATGCGCCAGCCCATGCAATTAATGCACAAACTATCACAGTTAAGAATCGAAACAAATTCTTCTGCCATTTCACCATAAGGTTATCTTTGCCACTTCTTTCGAATATACCTTGCTCCATGATCCTTATGGCCGGAAACAATTGTAAAGGCACAGAAAGGAGAATAGCCAAAGCATAAAGCAATTGAACAATTCGAACCATAGGATCATTAGGAGGTAAATTTAGAATGACTACAGTCTTCACGTCTTTACCGAAAGCGGCATAAGATAAAACACCAATTGACGTGAAAATGATAGTAATGAATATCATAACACCAGTTAAAACTTTGGGAAATTTTTCTGGTTCTTTCATAGATTCGGTTATTGGAATGATCTTTGAAAGAATTGTTAACATAAAGATTCATTCTAGGGGTGAAGAAAGGGCATATTGATAATATTGTTAACACTCACTAGACCAATCCCTTCAAAAGTAAAAACGGCAGTGCCAACAAATAAAGCGAAATCCACTGGATTAAATGCTGCGATTTCACCAACGCCACTTGATGATAGTCGATAAATATCATAATAATATAAATACAATAGTCCAAGCATAATAAATGCATCCGCAATCAATGCTGTAAAAGACAATCTAGATATACGACGAATCATGGCTAATGGCGCGAAAATAAACAATTGTCCCACAATAAACCAAGATATATCTAAATTTTCAATATGTGTAAAATAGCTAGTAACTGAAGCAAGATTTTCGGCAACAAAAATCATGTAGGCGCAAACGAATCCGATCTATTTTGAAAAAATAATGAAACATATATACTAATTTTTTTTTTTCTTAAAAAAAAAATAAAAAAAAAAAATAAAATTTTATAATAATCGATTGAAATTTTGTACCTGAGAAAGTGTTATCGAGAATAGAACAGCAAGTCTCATCCAACGACCGTACAATGCGCCACCGATATCTAATAATCAAGTTATTAGTTAGTAACAGATTTTTAACAACTTATTTATTATATATCATTATATATCAGATATATATATTTGATAAATACCGCCAAAACTATATGGGATATAAACCCGTGTCTCAACAAGTAATAAAAATGTGCATAATGATATTGCAGCAATTCCAATCAAGACTAGTGTTGAGAAAAGCATACCACCATTATAAAACCTAATTGTGGAGCAAAATTAGTATTAATTAGATTATTAAAAGAAAAAAAAACACGTATTTATACATTAAATATAAAACATACGCCTTCGGTAAGAACATAACTCCAGTGCCAACAAACGATTTTAAAAGTAAAAATACGGCTTTCGAAGGTGATGCATTTGCGTGAGAGGAAAGTCCTTCTCTTGGAAGTAATGGAGTTATCTCAGTAACAATATCTTCTTCTTCCTCTTCATCATCCGACAAATCTTCACCAGCAAAATGGCCATACATCGCAAGAAAATCGATAAAGTTTCGGGTTATAATGTTAGGTAGTTCTTTGCCTTCCTGCCTTGCCTTCATCAGAAGATGATAACGGCGAAATCCGCCTGGTTCCCTGATATTAGATGTATCTGGATCAGTTGGTCGTGGTAAATATAAAGAACGAGAACGAGTACGTCTCATAGGTTCAATTTCTATACTGTTATGCCATTTATAAACCTCGTGTGTTGCATCTAATCCACGCAACTTATGATGTGATGTTGAATAAAGGGTAAGCGGATCTGTTGAACTACCACTATTTTCAGAGCTATTAGCAAGATCTTCCCCGGTGACGAGGTGCTTTCTGATTATCTCTACCTTTCTTTCATCAGGAATATCGATGGCATTCGCCTCTAAATTAGGTTCCAAAGACCCGAAAGACCTTCCAAAACCACCTGAGGTACTCAAATGAAGCTTAGGATTAGGAGAGGAACCAAGTTTATTTTGAGTGCTAAGCTTAGGTTGAGATTTAGATAATTGAATATTTTGCCCTTGTGGGGGAGAAGTAAGTCGGTTTATATTGTTAGTTCTATTATAGGAATCAGGAGCGTTATTATTTGGTGCTTTGTCACGATTCTTGATCTCGACAGGCTCAGCTATTGAGGAAGGAATCATGCTTTAATTTTCCCGAGAAAGTTGAAATACGATTTTTAAAAACAAAGAGTTGAAAGAATAAGAATTAATAGAATTGTTTAAGCCTCATGGGGTTTGATTATCTGTTATTTATTAATTTATTTGGCGTTTATTTTCCAATTTTAATTTGATGAAAGGTACACAACATATCATACGCGATATTTAAGACATTATTGGCCTAACTGATGGTTAACTGTTAACCAGTTATGCTTTATCGTTATTACTGTTAAATAATTCCTAAAACTGTAATTTGCCGAATTCTCCGCAATCACAGGATAGTAGATGAGACCCTGATGATACAGATGTTATAGTATCTAATATAGTAGTAACAGTCATATTTTTGTCCCAAAGTATGTTTCAAATATGCATACGTACAGTAAGTAAAAATTATACGTACGTATCTGATATCGATATATTTTATTTTACGTACTTGCATATGGTTCTATTTAGAAATTACCTAACCTCAAATAATTAAGATATATACTTACAAAATTAGTCAAGCCTACGTATATATTTTTTTTTTGACAATGTCAAATTATATATAGTTATAATATATAAATAAAATTATTACCGTTACATTATTAATGTAACTAAACTAATTTAATTAACAGACCAAACCAATTTAACCAGAGTGACTAGACCGCAACTTATTACTTTTTTTGATGTCTTTTTATAAGACCTTTTTGGTTATTTCTGTAGTTGAATAGTCATAGTATTCTTATACTATGAGGCAGAATCTGCTAAATCCTCCTTTGTACGCCATTTAATGGAAACTTACAAGCTCGATTCTTGTCATTTTATCTTATTTATTATTTCAGAAAGGGGTTTGGCGAATACGACCCCTTTCGGTTTGTACTTTGAAGGTTATATGGGCTGCTGATAAAACAGCTCATATGATAAATCAGCTCATAAATTATGATAAAAACATTACTGTACAAAAAAAAAAAACTGGTTTATATGTAGGGTTTGGAACTTATGTAAGTATTTATGATGGCCAGATTTATTTTTATTTTAAAACCCTTCAAACAAGGCTGTTATTAGACGACAGCTTTAAAACCTGTCTAAAGTCTTTTAATTGGTAAAACCTGTCTAAAAGACCGCCTTGCTTCAGGTATTTCTCAATGCTAAGTATATAACGATAAAGGGATTTACAAGTTAGCAGTTACGGTAAGTTTCATTTTAAGCATCTGGTAGTAACTTACGCTATATTTTTAAAAATCAATTCTAACTTATTTCGAAATATTTTGAATTGCTACCTCGGAACTTTTAAATTTTACTACTATATAATAAAATTTTAGAATTTTTGTACATATCGATATATGGGGTTTAGTCAATAAAAATCAAGCAAATTTTTTCTAAGTAAATTTTTTTGAAACTTTAACCAACAATAACTTAAATCAAAATTAATTAAAATTTTTTTAAAATAAATATTACAAATTGTAGAATTAATTTATTAAATTTGATAAGGCTTTTGTTGAGTTATTGTTGTTTAAAGTTTCAAAAAAATTTCAATAAAAACAATTTGCTTGATTTCTATTGACTCATCCCCATATCTCGAAATTCGCGATTCACATGGATTTTTAATATCATTTTATGTATAGCCAAATTTTAGTTAAAAAGTGAACTTTATGAATAAATTATAAATATTAATCGAACAAGTTTTTCAATTAAATATTCACGAGTAATGCTAACTATATTAAAGTTTTTTGAAAACAGAAATCTTTGACTTTTAGTAAGATTGTTAAAGCCTTGTATATTATAAGTAATAATAAAGTATTAAGATTGAAATTAGTTTAAAAATAAGAATTTAATAAATTAGTGAAAATATAATTATGTAAAGTATTTGAATTTAGAAAAAAATATTTAAATTGTTTCAATATACAGTAGTACTAAGAATAGTTAGAAAAACAATATTTAAATTGCTTCAAAATTTGAAATTATAAAAGTTAATATAGTACTAAGAATAGTTAGAATATTTTATAAGTAAAAGTAGAAATATAATTAAAAATAAAAGATCTAAAATATTTAAATAAATATAAACTTTTTAAATTAAGAATTTGATAAATAGAAGTATAAAAAATTATTAAATAGTAAAAATTTATTATAATATATAGATATTATAAGAGCTTTAAAGTAAAATAATAAAATAAATTTTAAAATTAAATGAATTTTTTTTTACAAAAAGAGTATTTATTATATATTTAGTTTTTATTACTATATATAAAAAATTCAAATCTTATTTTATATATTGTATTAGTTTTAGTTTATGTTTTAATTTTTATATTAATAAACTTTATTAATTCTTTATAGAATAGGTGAGCAATATAAGAAATAAGCTTCGCTAATGATTAATAATCATTAATTTTTTAATATATTCGGCAAAGTTTAATAGAATTTGTCTACTTATTCTATAAAACATCTATAAATAATAATAATGTTTTTTTGTAATTAAGATAGTTTCTTTAATTAATTAGTTTTATTAATTTGAAATAACAAAAACATTTTACTATTTTTAATTATATAATAAGTATATATATAATATAATAATATAGTATAACTAATTTTATATATAACTTTAGTTATTATTTAATTTAAATAGTTTGCTATACAATAAATAACTACTTGATTAGTTCTATACTAAGCTATTATATTTCTAATTTACTTGTAAATTATCTATTTAAGTATTCTAATTAATATAATTTATATATCGCAGTTACAAACTAATATTATTAAAATATTTAACTACTTAAATTAACTGAATTTATTTTCTAGATTTTCTTAAAGTCTTTGCTAAAAAATCAAGCTTCCAAACTTATAGACAAAATTGAATTTTTCTAATCATCTAGTAATACAATTTGAATAAATATTTTTATTATTTAAAAAAAATGAATTATTTTATTATTAACAATATATACTATATTGATGCTAAATAAATACCGAATATTTCAGTGCCGAATGTTCCTATTTCGATCTTTGTATGATACTGAAGAAAAAAATACTACAGAGAATAACATGCGGCATACGTACTATATAAATCAAATTATATATGGTATAATATATATTTAAATATTTTATGTAGTTTCGAATTCTTCAAATAGATGTAGACTAATATTATTGTTATACAGGTTACAAAGCTATTTTTTTTTTTACATTTAAATATAAAAAAATTATAATTTTAATAGCTTCATAGAACCATGATATTAGTCTTGGCAAAATTTTATTCTAAACTATTAAGCCGTATACTGCATAATTTTGATTTACCATAGTATCCCTTACACCGTCAGGCAAACCCGCAGTAAAAATAAAGTGACGTGCTTAAAGATAATTTTTTATATTAATCTTTAAAACCACCGTCGAATTTACTTTCAATATAGTACAAAAAAATTCACAGCAAATTTGCCTGTAAGGATGTTAGCGAAAAAAAGTTAAAGAACGATGATGTAAATAAAATTTAAAGAACGCTATATGGGGATTGCCATAGCTTCGGGCTAACCAGAATTTATATATGGACTGATATTCATACCTATTTTTGAACTAGTTGCTGAGATTCATCGGATCACATGATAAGTTAATTGAATTGAATTTGAAATTAACAATACATACATATTTAATTACAACGCAACCATATTACTTACTGTAAAGCTTCGTAACTGAGTTAATAAAATAACAACGAATAATAATTTCCTATTTTTATAAATACTTATTAATTGGTCAAATATGTTAATCGATCTGATATAAATAGTCACATAATAATTTTTGATTGTATGTTGGCCGATCCTATGACCTATCGTAGGTCATTTGGTCGACTTAACCAGAAAGATTTTCGTGATGCAAAATTTTTTTTTACTATCATACGTATCATTTAATACAGTAATATGGCATGACCTATGACCTATGACAAGTCATACGATCATATGACTAAGGTCATATTACTGTATTAAAAAATTTCAGGTTACGTACACTTATGTGAGAACATAAAATTTCAAAAAGCTACTCTATCGCTATAGATGTTCTTGTGAGAACATTGTTAATTCAAATTTTATATACTGGTTATGACTTTAGGTCAACACTATAATTTAGAAATTTTTTGCTTATGTACACCTTATTAATTTTGGCCAAAGCTTTACTTTAAAAATATAAATTTTAGTATGATCGAATTAATGCTAATATTATGTTAATTTTGACCGAAGGTGCTACG